AGTCCTTCACTTCAAACAAGAGAAGCCCCATACTATTGACTGGCCTTGGAGAGACCACTCGCTTCTATGGAAGGAAGATCTGTATATGGTCAAGGCTAGACCGCTCCAAAGTGAATGCTGAGCATGCCTATGGCCGTTGACATGAAAGAGCTTCAGTGCTGTGTCGGGTTATAGCTATATGTTTTGAAAGTGAAAGCGCGTTCTCTTTCTCATATTCTTTCTCTTTTCTCTCCGCAGTGGAGAATAAATCAAGCAAAGGGGGCAAAATAAAACGGTAAGAGAAATTTCAGTTACAGCAACCGTAGGCCAGCTACAGAGAATTTGTAACCTTGCTTCATGACCGCCTTTCTTTCCTCTTTGGCTGTGGTCCATTGGTCAAAAGGGTGGTGGGTGGGAAGCAGTTGCAAGCAGATTATTATTACTGTTGCTATTGTTGTTGTCATATGGGATTGTGTGTAGTATAGCCAGGAGATCCTAAGATTGTGTGGCAGCCAGAAGTTCTAGCTCTTTTCGCGTTATGCACCACTAGATGGCAAGCTAGACTTTCAGAGGTAGTTTGGATGGGCCATTGGCCTGATTCAGCATGGCTTCTCTTATGTTCTTAAGAGCAGAGGTCCATGAGTGGCTATTAGCCACAAGGTAAAGATGGAACACTCTGTCCGGGGCAGTGATGCTCTGTATTCTTGGTGCTTGGGGGGGGGGGGCAACAGTGGGACGATCAGAGGTAGTTTGGATGGGCCATTGGCCTGATCCATAGGAAAAAACCACAAGCAAACCCTGTGATATGACCAACATTTATAAGATTAACATTGCTTTTCTAAAACACAACAATTTATCCATTATTCTCACTTATACAATATTGCAAAAAATAGTACACATAGTCCATCATAATGAGTACCCGGTTGTGAACTCATTTCAACTTTAAAGTCTTCCTCAGACGTAATCCAATATTTAAAGGATGTGTCAGCTTCTTAAATCCAGCTCAGCATTGTAAATTCTTAAGTTCTTAATTTCCTTCATAATGTCTTCTGGTTCCATAATAAGTGTTTATTTCTGAAGCAAGCCCATCCTTTGTATGTGCAAAAAAGCCTCCTGAATTTTACTGGCCATGCTCTCCACAAACACCAACTTATTTAGGTAGTAGCAATCTAGTCCTTATTATATATTATATCTGGCTAAAGCCTTCATTATTCTGGTTGGTAAATGCACTATATTTTTTCACCCGGCTAAAGCCTTCATTTTCTATCTGGCATGATCCAGCATGGCTTCTGTTATGTTCTTAAGAGCAGAGGTCCATGAGTGGCTATTAGCCACAAGGTAAAGATGGAACACAGTCCGGGGCAGTGATGCTCTGTATTCTTGGTGCTTGGGAGGCAAGAGTGGGGCGGTGTCTGGAGTTCTGGCCCCGCTGGTGGGACCTCCTGATAGCACCTGGTAGTTCTGGCCACTGTGTGACACAGAAGGTTGGACTGGAGGGGCCATTGGCCTGATCCAACATGACTCCTCTTATGTTCTTATGTCTTCGCATGCCTTAGCATTGCCCTTTCCTATTAATCTGTCAGCATTTTGAGACGTCTTGATAAGCCTCTCGTGTACTCTAGGGCAGCCAGCAGCACGTACCGCAACCTTCCGAAGATCAGCCAGCATCAGGCCATGCAGAGACCACTATCGAAATCTTCGTCAAACCGGGTGGCTGAAAACAAGCTGTCTAGCAAGGAGAGCCCGAAACAGGTGGCTGTTCTTTTCCCACGTGGCCTTCTGACAAATAATCTAACTTTAGGGCTCCAGGGCTTTTAGCTAGCAAGTACAGTAACTGGTGTATTATCAAGAGGGAAGGAGGTGGAACGATATGACAGGGAAAAGTAATGCTGTGCATGCTGCCTTTGAGGAGGCAGGTTTCCAAAACCTAATGCTCGGTCTGTTGTAGGGTTGCCAGGTCTTACCTGTCTGCTGGCGGGTTCCTGGATCTTCTGTGCACACCGCAATGATGTCACCCGGAAGTGACGTCATCATGCTAGGCATGTTGTCCAGGGGACGCTCTAGCATTTGGCCAAAAATCTCTATGGTCACCATAGAGTTTTTAGCCAAATGCTAGAGCGTTCCCCGTGTGACATGCCTGGTGCGATGACATCACCTCTGGGTGACATCATTGCGGTGTGTGCAGAGGATCCAGGAATACTCTTTGGGGGTGGGGCTCACCCGCCGGCCAACTGGCCGCCGGCAGACTGGGCCCCCCCAAAAGCAGGGAAAACCCTGCCCCCATTGGGGGGATGTCAACCCTAGTCCATTGTACCACCCTGGGCCCAGACTGAGGCTCGAACTACACACAACGTGTAGCACATGATTACCATGGGGAATTGCAGCAGGAGGCCAACTGTGAATTCTCCATGGGAACTCAATTCTGGCTTTGGGGAACCATTTTGGATTGGGAATGCAATTCAGGTCGGGGCTGCAGGGAGGAGGGATTTCAGCCTTTCCCCCTGCTCCTTTCTCCTGACCTGAAGCTGCCTGGGAGGGGTTTTATTTCCGCTATGGGAGGGATGCACTTGCAAACATTTAATGCACATGGGACCTTTAATGAGGCAAATAACACCCCGGGGGCCATTTCAGATCAGGGGAACATCACCAGGGTGGGGTGGGGTAAATGGCTGAAGCATCTCCTCTTCCCATTTCTGCAGCCCTGATCCAAGCTGGGCCCCCGCGGCACTTCAGAATTGAGTTCCCACAGGGAACTCGCAGCTGCTGTACGGCTGCAAGTTTGTTTGGCAATCACCTGTTGCACGTAATGTGTAGTCTGGACCTTAGTCCTCATTTAAAAGGCAACATTGAAGAAGAAGAAGAGATTGGATTTATACCCCGCCCTTCACTACCCAAGGGAGTCTCAGAGCGGCTTCCCCTCCCCACAACAGACACCCCTGTGAGGTAGGTGGGGACTGAGAGAGCTCTGACAGAAACTGCTCTTTTTCAAGAACAGCTCTTCTCAGAACTACGGCTTGCCCAAGGTCATCCAGTCAGGTGCAAGTGGAGGAGTGGGGAATCAAACCCGGTTCTCCCAGATTAGAGGCCGCGCACTTAGCCACTACACCAAACTGGCTCTTCTATAGAGAGACTAGCGCTAAGTGGGAACCCGGAAAAAAAGAGTTCCGCAGTTGATGGGAACAGAAGAAGAAACCTGTGATCTCTGGTCTGAGCTCATCAGCTGGAACAGTATTTCGGGAGGCATTTCGGGCTGCCATGGGAGCAGGGAGGGCGGGAAGTCTTGCTCAGCAGGAGGAAGTCCTTGCACCCACAGAAGCAATAGACTGAATCCAAGCTGAAGGGGTTCCCCCCCCCCACCTTGTCCCTTCCTCCTACAGACTAACATATCACAATTTAAGGAGAATTTAACCCACCTCTCCATAACAGTGTCTTTACTTTGCAGAACTCTTTTTTTCTGGGTTCCCACTTAGCACTAGTCTCTCTATAGAAGAACTGAACAGATGGTGCCAGGTCTCACGAGACCATTGCTGCTTTCTGAACTGGCAGAGACTGAACAAGAGAGAGATCTTGGAGTCGTAGTAGATAACTCACTGGAAATGTCGAGACAGTGTGTGACTGCAATAAAGAAGGCCAATGCTATGCTGGGGATTATTGGGAAGGGTATTAAAAACAGATCAACCAATATCATAATGCCCCTGTATAAATCAATGGTGCAAACTCATTTGGAGTACTGTGTACAGTTCTGGTCACCACGCCTTAAAAAGGATATTATAGCTTTGGAAAAAGTGCAGAAAAGGGCAACTCGAATGATAAAAGGGTTGGAACGCTTTCCCTATGAGGAAAGGTTAAAGCACTTAGGGCTCTTTAGCTTGGAGAAACGACGACTGAGGTGTGACATGATTGAGGTTTTTAAGATTATGCATAATTCTTATTCAAGCATGGCTGTAATGGGACCCAGTCTCAAAAAGGATCCTCCTTGACTGACCATTCTGGCTTAGTATATGCCAGTTTTTTGAGATTGGGTCCCATTACAGCCATGCTTGAATAAGAATTATTCGAAACGCGGCATCAGGCATCCGGATTACGCATCGGCTCTTTATGGCTCAGAAAATTTGATGACTTACACTTCAATTTGGCCTCTGATATTTGCTTCTATTTTGGAGTAGACACATGGAAAGACTGTAGACTGTGCTTCTGTTATGCTTTATTATTGCACCTTGGCCAATTGATTCCTGTTTGAGGACAGCCGAGTATCTTTG